AAAACTATCCTATTTTCTTTAAAAACTAAAAAAACTGTATAAACAAAATAAAAGAAGCGAATTGCCAAGGTCATTATGCCCTTAAAGGTTTTCTCCAGCCCTGACTTTAGAAGACAGTGATCATCAAGATATGCTTATTTTTTCATAGAATATTTTCATATAGATGTTATTTTTTATATCCAGATATTAATGTAGGAATGGGGCTTTGAAATTACTTCACAGCTGGGTAATTTAGTTTTGCAAAAAGATGGAAGGCTAATTACTAGGCAATAATGTGATCAAATTATCAAAAGCTTCAAGGTGGTTCTATTTCAGTTCTCAGGCTGATGTGCATTTAAAAATATCTCTACTTAGAGTAGTTACTGTTCGTAATGCATTGTGGAATCTTTTTAGGTAACAGCTTGGATGATAAAGAAGCCATTATTCTTGATTTTGTGTGTTTAACCCAAATTAAATTTATGACAGACTGAAAATTAGCTGTAGTGGTGTGCATCTCACTTCCTGTTCTATGCAGCTTGATATGTGTGTGAGTTATATGTCCAGCAGGCCTAATAAGAACATGTTATAGATGGATGGAAAAGCTGTTTCATACTACCCTACGAAAATATCCAGGGTAATATCTGCAGTGTATATATAACGTTGCAGTTTTGGTTTATAAGAGATGTGACCTGTAGTAAAATGAAATCTATTGGAAATCCTTTAGAAGAGGAACATTCAGGATTCACTTCTCTCATTTCCAGGCTTCTATGCAGCTGACCAAATTAGGAGGGAAGACCGTACTAGTGCTTTATTTCAGTGCAGATGAGAGATTAGAAAAGTACCTTAGTTTCTGAAATACCATGGATCAGAGAATTCAGTGCATGACCACCTTGCCTACTACCTACCTCTCCCTCTTCCTTTCCATTATCTCAGTTACATGCGGGAAGTACCTTGTTTACCATGTGGGTAGCTTGTGTTGCATTTAAGGTTTTGCCCTCATACCCAGTCTTATGAAAGGATTTCACAGCACAATGTTGATTAATTAAAATTTTCTGAAGCAATGGAATCAGAGATGGCTCTGCAAAAGAAGAATAAAATGTAAAACACAGGATTTCTCATTTAAATGCAGCCAAGGTGATAAATAATTATTTGCGGTAATCTCTGACCAAAAAGACAAGATTTTCTTAGTGGGCCTACGTCTGTGTCTTTCACCACCAACACTGGCCACTTCATGGGCAGTCATGCAAGCAACTAGGCACAGAATGGAACTTGTGTGGGCATCTTTCTGTACAAGTAGTTCTAACAAATTACAGCTATCAAATCATCTCCCAAAGATACTTTCATACTCAGCAGCACATTTTCTGTAATATCTAAGAAACTCGTTTAAACAAGTCTTTTAAATAGCCTTAAAACGATTCCCTTCAAAAGGTATTGAGTCTAATAGTTCTGATATGAAGGAACTTCTTAAAGAGACTGGTTTGTTAGCCTTTTCTGAGTCCTCATATATATTTAGTCATAAAACAAAGAAATGCCTTTTAGTTTTAGCCTCTAGATACAGAGTTTTTCAGCTGAGGTTGCACTTCAGAATCACTTGTGGAGCTGTGCTTACATCCACTACCAGAAATTCTGGTTTAGTAGGTTTGGAGCGAAGTCACTGCATCGGGGTTTGTTTTGTTTTGTTTTGTTTTTAAGTGTTACAGATGATTCCAACAGACACACTTCCAGTTGAGTACCACTGCCAGCTTACATTTGAAGGTGCACCGCACATATTCTCTCCAGTATGGAAGCATGTTTTATTCATACTAGTTCTGTGGCTTTACAAAGAGGGACTCAGAAGGTAGCTAGAAGGAGATCCTGGCTATGGTCAGAACTTCGGATTCAAAAGGGAACCATTCTAAACCCCTCTTCTTTACAGAGTTAGTAGCAGAACCAAATATTGTCGGAAAAGTCATGACGCATTTTTGCAACGAAAAACACAAGAAAAAATGTGTCATGACTTTTCCAACAACCCAATACTAGATCCAAGACTCTGACTTGAGCTCTTTCTACGCTAGCAACTTGGACTGATTCCATCTTTGAGAAAAGCTTTAAAGCCATATAGTAATCGAGAAGTTGTCTTGAGCTTCCCAAATCCTGCCAGAGTATTATGAGGTCTCAGGGTATTTAATAAAAGGAGCAATAATGCAGCCAGCAGGAACTTGTCACATCTTTGAAGTTAAAAGGCTGGAGTTACGAGTAATATAACGCATAGTTAGAAATTATAGACATCACCCAGAATGCTTTTGTGACTTCTTTGTAAACATGGACATTTCTAACAAGAGATACCTAGATTTGGTACTGAAGATCGTCAAGAACAGGATGTTCATTTGTCTCATTTAAACTGATCCTTAAGTATTGGCAGCAAGTCCAGGAAATTATACTAATATTATATTTCTAAGCAGGCCTGACTTTCAGCTTGTACTTGAGAGGAGGATATTGTGCCCAGATTTGCAATTTAACCAACTAAAGGAATAATTTGCATATTAATTAGGATTAGATTTAGCTGTAAAATAAAGATCCACATAACAGTAGTTAAGTCAAGGTAAAGATTGACTTCTAGATTAAAAAAGTCCAGAGCGAAGGGAAACCCGACATTGGTTTGGCTACTTCATAGCCACCAGGTACCCAGGTTCTATTGTTGTTTCACCCATCCTTGGCACTGCCTTACATCCTGAGGTGTCTGATAGTTCTAGATGGCTCCTGGAGCTTCAGCCATCATCAAAGGGGCATAGTGCCAACTTGAGTCATCTCCCTTGGAAGAGATTCTTTAGAACAACCCCATCCAACGATTTCTGTTTCCATCTCTCTTGTTATTCCTGTTATCAAGGGAGGCTGGAAAGTTATAACTGGGCAGGTTGCTATTCACTATAATTAGAAGTTCTATTACTAAGAAAGAAGGAAGAGTGGATATTAGGCAGGCAAACAACAGATTTGCCACAATCTGTTTTGAAGAATATAATACGTATTTTAGAAAAACCAAATTTTAGTGACATCAAAAACTGTTATATAGGATATCAATTTAAGAGATCCCAGACTATAATGATCATGTGTCTGATTAATAAAAACAATGAATCTCCACGATAGTGTTCTGCTTTTGATTCCTCAGCAAGACTCACTGCGAACAGCTGTTAGGTTTTATGTATTTTAAATAAACTGAAGAATGAGTTCTTCAAAACAATAGGGGGAAAAAGACATTGTAAATTAAATTCTGTTTCCTTTTGGAGATAGGGAGAATCAAAACAGCCACAAGGACAATTCAATGGATGGTTATGGAATTAGCAGAAGCAGAGTATACTGTATTAGATGCTATGAGCTAGGAATGAGCTGCTCATTAAAACACTCAAGTTGTTTAGTATTTAGGTAGAACAAGATAGACTATGCAGCTCATGAACTAGTTAAACATGTATCATAGCAATGAGTCACACCAACTCCAGATATACAGGACCTATCCTGGAGAGAGCGATTGGCGCCTTAGGTTAAAATTTTAAGTAGTGGATATTGTCTTAGTCCATTTTGGGCTGCTATAAGCAAAATACCACAAACTGGATGGCTTATAAACACAGGAATTTATTTCTCACAGTTCCAGAGGCTAGAAGTCTAAGATCTGGGTGCCAGCATGGTCGGGCTCTGATGAAGGGCCTCCTCTGGGTTGTAGATTGCTAACTTCCTGCTGTGTTCTTACATGGTGGAAGCAGGGGTGGGGGTTGGGGGTCCCTTTTAGAAGGGCATTAATCTCATTCATGAGGGCTCTGCCTAACTCCTCCCAAAGGCCCCAAGTCTTAAAACACATTAGGACTTAAGTTTCAACTTTGGGGAGGATGCAAACATTCAGATCATAGCAGATATAATCAGTCACCACTGCCTTATCCTATCTGTACAAATAAAAAGAGATAGAAGATGCAGAGAATTTTGTTGTCTAAAAAACTCATAGGCAGGGCCGGCCCAGTGGCTCAGTTGGTTGGGAGTTGGCTTGGGAGCGCAAGCTCTGAGCGGTAGGGCCACCGGTTCGATTCCTACATGGGCCAGTGACACTGCGCCCAAACTGAGCTACCAACAGGTGGCAGGATGGCCCAGAAAAAGAACCAAAAAACTCGTAGGTGTAATCTGTAGCATATACGACTGTAAACCATAGTGTACATTAATGTGTAAGATGGAAGTGTTTCTGCTGTATGACACCAGATTTTTTAAATGTTCTGAGGCCTCATTCGTCACATTTACCGAGTGCCTCATATTTACAAGTACACTCTAAGGTGGAAATTCATTCACAAGTTGCCACTTAGGTGACAAAGACTAGATTTTGGCTTCTTACAGCTATGAATTTCAAATCTGGGGAAAACCCCGACTTGTATTTTTTTCCACCTATTTCTTTCATAATTACTTATCAGTAACCAAACCCTGTCTGTTGACTTTGCTCCAGCTAATAGAAAACAGGAAACTGCCAAGACTCCCTGTGAGAAGAGGGCCAGGCTGCACCCTTTGTGACTTCACCCCTTCAGTCGAAGTTGTCCTTGGAGCAGCAGTTGCAAACAGCTCCATATGTGGCTTTGGCAGTCAGCATAGGAAGTGTAAATGAAACCAGCTAATGCAACAGAGTCTGTTAGCCTGGCCTTTTGAGCTCAGCAAGCCATCTTTTGAACCTTTCATAATCATGCGCTTTTGGGCATCCTTGGGGGAGAATAGTTTACACTCTGATCCAGTAATGAATCAGGGACCATTCTCTGTCTTATATAGCAGTGGAAATGCCTTTGACACTCTGGTATTAAATAACTGCTTCTTTGAACTTATTGTGAAATGACTTAGCCTTTCCCACTCATTATTAGTTCCCTTTGAAGCTATAGTGCTCAGTTTAAGTTCCCCAGTAGGGACTATGAAAGAAAATGGAAACCTCACAAATTGTACTTGCTTTGTATCTACTCAGTGCTGATGCGACTATCTCATGTTTTGTGACCCCCATTTGCACCCCATTCCCCCTCTGCTTTCAGGTGAAGGTCTCCCACAGGTGTATTACTTTGGACCATGTGGGAAATACAACGCTATGGTGCTGGAGCTCCTCGGCCCTAGCTTGGAGGACTTGTTTGACCTCTGTGACCGAACTTTTACTTTGAAGACTGTGTTAATGATAGCCATCCAGTTGGTAAGTTGGCATTGCTGCTCTGCAGAAGGATAGGCGGGTCCTGCAGCCACATCCTTGTGTCCCTTTTGGTGATTTACCAGCTGTAGTGATGCCTAGTGAATGCTCACACATAGGCTTGATGGCATTCTAGGAAGCTGACCAGGGCAAAAAGGGCCAATCTTGTTAAGTCCCACTGCATCTGCCCTTTGCACTGTTTTAAGAATTTGCACCTTGGAGCAATACCCTGCCCTTAATTGAAATGGAAGTATATCATTTAGATCAGGGAAAAAGAGGATGACTAGGTGAAGTTGTACAAATGCAAGTAATTTCTTAGATGTTTTATTTATAAATTTTAAACACATGCCTGTAAGTCTTTGTCATGTCCTCCCTCTCCCCTTACTTTTGCGTCCAAGAAAAGATTGGAGATGTAACCCTAACAATCAGATTCCAGAATTTTATGACCAAGAACCCTCCTTAATTCTCTGGCCTCCAGTTCTCAGAAACTGACACAGCTGAGGCAGCTCTCTCAGCTCCTGCCAGATCGCATATCATTACCAGTTTAAGGAGCAATTAAGACAGTTCCTTTGAGAAGCTTGTCAGCCTCTCAGGGAAAGAATGCAAATGCGGCTTCATTGGTCTGATGTGATGATGTAGGTCTACCCACTTTACAGCAAAAACTTGGAAAATTGACCTTGACTTTTTAGTCTAAAATTCAAATGTCCGAGCTTCCCTTTCTGTACTAAGGAGAAAAGCTTTGAAGATAGAAATGAACTTTGAAATAATTTTATGATTATTATTTTGGACTATTTTTCCATTCACATATAAACTGCACTTCTAGCTGCGCTGCTAATTAACTCTGTGGTATCAGTCCAGTGTTAACTTTTCTGGGCCTCACTTCCCTCATTTCTGCAACAAAGAGAGCTGGGTTGGGGAGTCTGCTCAACCGAGGATAGGCAGGTGTGGGCAGGAGGTGAATGTGGCAGTGGCACCTGTCTTCAAAGGCTGCCAACATATTCCGATATCCTGTCTGGAAATACCTTTTGCTTCTCAAATGCTTGCTCTCTGAAGTAGAATAAAAACACCTAATCCTATTCATCATTTGCAAATTGTAACCTTATGAGGTAAAACTGTATATTATCATCTTAGCTGAACTGTACTATCCCACTCTTGTATTGTGATATTTGTTATGCATATATTTATGTCAGAAAATATTTCCTGGTTTACAAGAGTAAAGTGACTGGGTGGTGAAGAAGAAATGAGTTTCTTATTTTCATTTCAGTAATTAAAACCTTGGGCTGATAAAAGAAAACGTATTGATGTATGTTTTTCAGTAAACTTCATGAGAGTATTTCCATCGTTGTGTTTTTCTTTTAGCTTTCTCGAATGGAATATGTGCATTCAAAGAATCTCATTTACCGAGATGTCAAGCCAGAGAACTTCCTGATTGGCCGACAAGGCAATAAGAAAGAACATGTTATACACATTATAGACTTTGGACTGGCCAAGGAATACATTGACCCTGAAACCAAAAAACATATACCTTATCGGGAGCACAAAAGTTTAACTGGAACTGCACGATACATGTCTATCAACACACATCTCGGCAAAGGTGTGTTAATGTTCTGCTCCTTGGAGGGGGTGGGTTGTTAAAATAACTTTTATTCTAATAACACTTTTGTCCCCTTGTATGTTACAACTTGTGATTCTTATTGCTTCACAGGTAAGTGATTTTTATACTTGAGAACTTATGATGGTAAGTTAGTGACTTTCCCAAATATTCTGTTAACAATTTTAGGATTTTAATTCTTTATACAGTTGATCGTTGAATGACACAGGTTTGAACTGTGCAGATCCACTTACACCCGGATTTTTTTCAATGAATACTGTAAATGTATTTTTTCTTCTTTATGATTTTCTTTTCTCTAATTTATTGTAAGAATACATATATATATATATATATGTGTGTATATAATACATATAACATATAAAATACATGTTAATTGGCTGTTTATGTTACTGTTAAGGCTTTTGGTCAACAGTAGGCTATTGGTTATGTTTGGCGGAGTCAGAAGTTATATGTGGATTTTCAACTGTGCAGGCTGTCGGCAACCCCAACCCCCATGTTGTTCAAAAGTCAACTATACTGTGTTTCCAAATTCTTAGTTTCTTAGCAGTGTGGGTACTTGAATTATTGTATTAAAGCCATTGCATTTTATTTAGTTGGGTACAAATAGCCTTATGTAGGACATCAGGCTGATACCTGTTTTGGGGAAGCGTGTTTCACCAAAACATGGACTAGGCTGCTTTTCACTGTGCACAATTCCATGAATAGTTCCTCAAGGAAGAGCCTATGTCTTATTCAGTGAAAATATATTTGCTTTTCCATGAGCCTTGCATTTTATTCAGGATTGACAATGTGCACAAATACTGCAGAAAGCTCCGATCAGGGCAGAAGTCCTTACTTGTAAAAGGAACTAGTCCAGGGGAGAGAAGCCTTAAGAACAGTGAAAGGCAAAGTAGGCAGGGCCCTCGGGCCCTCACCAGCTTCTCCAGAAAAACTCCCCTTTCTATCTGTTTTATATATTGGTCTTTCATGGAAGATTCTATTTGGAGAAAAGTTTCCAAGGTGATTGAAAAAATATCTTTGAAAATCACCACCTATATTCTGTAAGCAGAATATAACCAGGTCCTAGACATAGCTAATTATATCAGGTGTTTGAATATTAACTGTTGTACACTAATAAGTACTTTAAAGACTAAAGTAAATAGCTGCAAAGTTGCCTCATGACATAATCTGCACAGGTATACAGATGATGACTCTATTAGTGAAGAGTAAAAATGACATTACAAAGTAGTGTGTTACAGCTTGAGTTGAAATCATGAATGCTGTCAGAATTGTGTCAATAACCACATGGAAATCCTCACTTCACTAAATGTAATATTTAAAAATTAGATTAGAAGGTCCTCTGCTACTTATTATCATTGTCACTTTGGACAAGTTACTTAACCTCCCTGAAACTTATCTGTCAAACAAAGAGTAATATTTCACAAGGATGTTTTGAGGATTGAAGGGGTAGTATATGTAACACAGGTCTCTTGCATAGTGCTCAGTATTCCCTTCTTGCTTCCTTTTTACAAGGAGACGGACTGTGTTGTAAATAGTAAAGTCATAATTACTTGGTTTAACTGACAGACTCTAGAAATTCTTATTCCAATGCCTGCTTCTTGGGCTCAGCAATTCGTGTTCTAATTGTGTTCTTGTCAAGAAAGACAAGGACTTCAGTTGGTTAAGAGCTCGCTTAAGAGTTTGAGCTCTAAACAACAGCAGTTCGAGTCCAGCCCGAGCTGAGCAGCCGCTGAGCTGCCAACAGGTAGCAGGATGGCTCAGCTAAAAAAAAAAAAAAAACAAGAAAGACAAGGACTGATAAATGGGTACCCGTGTTAGGTTTGTGTAAAGTATGATGTAATCATTAAGAAAAAGGGAAATGCAAATAAAATAAATAATCTAAAAGAATGAGAAAAAAAGGGGGGAAAAGGCCGGCAGAGTGGCTCAGTTGGTTAAGAGATCGCTCAAGAGTGTGAGCTCTGAGCAACAGGGTTACCAGTTCCATTCACAGCCCTTCCTCCATCAGCCTCAGTTATCTCACCTGTGAAATGGGCATGATAATAGTACCTTATTATATCATAAAGTTCTGTGACATAGTACATCTAAAGTGTTTAGCATACTGCCTGACTCTATACTAGAGACTCTATAATGATAATTATCATTTATTCAACAAAATGTTTTAAGTATCTACTGTTGTCAGACTTGAGTTCCTTCATCTCTTGGTGTAGGTAGCCATTTCTGCTGGAACTTTCTTTGAGTTTATATCCAGACTTGGACTTCCTAGCTCCAGAGTTTTTCAGGTCAGATATAACCTGTCACCATATTTTGTTAGTATTAGAATACATATAAATGGTTGTCAAATGTCCTTTAAACTCTGGCCACGGTCTCAAACTAGAGAAGCTTCCATAGGAATTCTAATCCTATTGATTTTTAAATATGGAGCATCCTTTATGTTGTGATGAAGAAAAAGGGAAGTGCGTCTTCAAATGATTTGGAAAGAATTGCCTATTAATTTTGCGAGGGAAGGGAACAAGGGAAGGTGCCTCCTAAACCTGACATTACCCTATCCAGTTAGCTACCTTCCCCCGCTGATTGAGGCAGCCCATTAAGTGTTCTTTCATGGTTGAAGTTAGAGTGAGGACACTGCGTCACTTAGCCCCTTTACTACAACAAAATATTTTTAACCTAAAACCAGGGATGTGATGCATGTAAACCATGCATGTGTTTCTAAATTGGTTGAAAGCAAACCTGTGTGGTGTAGAATTTTGTTCCTGCTGGTCTCATTGGTGTTGAACTCTTCCTTCTTTGAAAGTGAAAATGGCTTGCATGAATAAACAATGGTGTGTGGAAATATTGACTTGAATGAATGTGGACTGTTCAAAGAAGTATGGAAATAAAGCATGGCTCTGGTTTTCACATTCTGTTTTTTTTTCTTAAAAGGCCTTAATGGATTAAATTATCATAGATTAGTTTAGAGCTAGAAAAGGACTTTTCAGATGATCTAAATCAACCACTTTATTTTCAGATGAGGAAATTTAGGCACAAAGTAGATTGACTTGGCCATGCCTGACTTCACATAGATTAAATTAATGGAAAGAATGGGCCACAATCTAGATGACCTGACTCTGGAAACATTGTTATCTCATATTCCACAGCTATTTTTCATGATTCTCAGTATTTGAAAGGTACTTTATTATTTATTCCTGTGGGCTTAAATGTGTTTTATTATTTATTTATTTATTTATTTATTTAAATTTCATTTTATAATTAATTGGCTTTGCTCTGAAGAGAAGTTGGCCTTTTTTCCTGCAGGGCTGATCAATATTGAAAATGTGAAGAATTTCGCCCTCTAGCGCTCAACTTACTAAATTGCAACCATTTGCCCAGTGAATTTTTTATTACCTAGGGCCCCAGTGTTACAGGAAGTGACTATAAAAATGGAGAGGTGATGAGTAGGTGTGATGTAGTGTGAGAACCTGCAGGGTGTGGCTTCTCTGTCTGACCTGCTTTGTTGGAGGCCTCAATTCACCTTGCTTATTCTTTCTTTTTTTGTGTATCTTGAAGCTCTGTTAAACTATTTTTGTCTAATGACTTTGTTTTCAGTTATGTATAAAATTTATTGCATCCTTCGGGTAAACCATGTAGACAAAAGCTTCTGTCTTCCTGTTTTATTCTTTTTAAGATTATATCAACCGATGTGCATCAACTAATTTTATGTTAGTTATATATCTTATCAGGGTGCCTCCCCTTTCCCCTGGCCATCACTTTTCCGAAAATCTATTATACTTTAGGCGGCAATTTAGAAAGTTGCCTTTTCTTTGTTCATCTACCCTGTAGAGTACTTTTCACTCTTTTTCATGCAAATTGCCCAAAATTGGTGGCCGCAGTTACACGTGTTGTGCTTTTCTGTTTTGAGATGGCTGAGTAGCTTTCCCTGTCTCCTTGATTTTCTTAGGTTTTACTTTCTGCACAGTGAAAGCACAGTCAAGTTTAAGGTAACTCCTTAGTCTTGCATCTGTAATTTCTTTTGATAAAGCCCTAAACTAGATTTTGAAAATCAAACATATAAAATGACTGAGATGAACTATAATTGGCAAATCAGAAATGGAGGCATGGGGCAAGCCGAGTGGCGTGTTGGTTAAGAGCTGGCTTGGGACGCCAGAGGACCCTGGTTTGGATCCCACATGTGAGAGCCAGTGACACTGCCCTCCACAGCTAAGATGCTGAACAACAGCTCAACCTGGAGCTGGGCTGCTGTGAGTCGCTGGCGACGGCGTGGGCTGCAGTCCCTGTGGCAGTGGGCTGCCATAAGCTACCGTGTGTGGCCGGCAGCCAGCGTGAGTGGCCAGCAGCCGCCGTGAGCGGCTATCCAGAAGCCGGCGACTGATCTGCCTCGCCCGGGAGGAGCGCAATGATGGTGCCGGCTTGGGCCAGTGAGCAGCGTCCTCCACAACTGGACTGAAGAACAAAACAACAGCAACTTGTCTGTTCCCCTTCCCCCAATTCCCCAATAAAATCTTTTAAAAGAAAGAAATGGAGGCATGTACTACTTATATTCAGTCTGACAACCAAAGGAGATATAGGATGTTTTCTGAGATGAAGTTACATTTTTTACTGACTATTCCACAGTTCATTACCATTTTAATCTTTCCAATTAAAAGAAAAAACCCCCCAGCAACTTGTTATATAGGATAAGCTCCCAGAATGCATGGATCCTGTTTGATGTGCCCATAAAGGGCACCTTAGTAATACAGTTTAAATTTTTCTTAAGGTGGCTATGGAACATGGTACAGATCAATGGAGCTGAGAGATTATGTGTTGATGTTTGCTTATGTCAAGTTAAATTTTGATAATAGTTTTTTTATTAATTTTTTATGACGCATAAAAAGCACTACTCATATATGCTAGGCGTTCTGCAGTTTGAGTCTTTGCAGGCCTTGCCAGAATGGACTGTTTGAACAGCTTCAGCTGCTTAATCTGCTGCCCACTTTCCCTGATGGTAACCAAGGGTAATTGTAGCTCATATACTGGAAATAATGTTTCATTTAAATTAATCTTACTTTCAGGAAGGTGACACCATTGAGTGAAGGACAGTTACTCACTGTTTAGTGATTTGGGCTTGGTTTTAGCTTAGGATTTGCTCTTTTCACTTGATATTTACTTGTCTGTGACAGATCTAGGCAAAGGAGGTACACATTGTTTTTTGGTTTTGATCTAAAATATAATACTATCACTGGTTTAGATATACAAAGAATTAGTAAACATTTCCAGGTCAGAAGGGTTTGTAAAGGGACTGCTTGGTTTTGATCCCTTTTCTGCTTAGTAACTGCAAATGTAACGTGTGATCTGTCTTCCCTTTTAGAGCAAAGCCGGCGGGATGATTTGGAAGCCCTAGGCCATATGTTCATGTATTTCCTTCGAGGCAGCCTGCCTTGGCAAGGACTCAAGGTATCCTTGAAAGTGCTCAATGGAGGGCTTTGTTTCAATACTCAGTTGTCCATGAAGGGGTTGCTGACTTGATGTCTGCAAGAAGCACAATAAGGAAGATTGGCTACAGAGATGAGAAGCAGGGACCGGTTACATTAGTCTATATTGTAAATGCTCCCCTGGGCTTTGGAAGCTCTGTTTTGCTCACATTTGTCTTCTTCCCCTTCTGAATCCTTCTTCCGTGTTTTGGGATTGTCCATAATCTCGTCCCTCATTCCTTCTCAGCTTTGCCAGTACTGCTTTTCCCTGTCAGTATTCCTCCTCCATTACCATTACGTAGCAGGACGAGTGTTCCCAGTGTGTGGGGGAATTTCTGGAACAAATTGATGTCAGCAGCTGCTACACATTTTACCAGCAAGACTGGTGTGCCCCTCAGGGGAACTGGAAAATATTTGTTCATCCTACATAGGCTAAGCGCCCACCTGAACTAAAATGAAAACCCAGGTTTAACATTGCTGTTCAAGTGTTTTATTGAATAAATGCCTATGCAGACAATAGCCATTCCTTGTGAGACATGTAGTTTAAAATAGCCTTCCTTAGGTGAGTGTCACTGCAGTACATTTTGTGTCAGTTAACTACTAATTATAACTATTATAATTATTCTCTGCCACTGGCTATAGATTAGGAAATGGTAAGCTTCTAACTCATTCTAAGTCCCATTAGATAGTTCCGTGTGAAACAAATTTTTGAGTTGTAATTTATTTCAACATGTTCATATGGAAAAAAACTTAATCAGTAGCTTTGGGTACTCCCACACTCCTCCCCCTGCCCCCCTCTTTCCAGAAGGGCAGAATGATTGATTTTGCTGTGCTCTCTAGGACATCGTCCTAAAATGTAAGGCTTCTATCCCTTCCCTTTGGGAAGATTTTATTTCTTTCCCCTTAAATTCCTCTCTTAACATCTCCTCCGTAGTCTTCTCCTAGTCATACATAATTCCTCATTGATATTGACAGTTGTCAAATAGTTTCACATCATATTTGTTCACCATATAGCCAGGCAGTGCATTCGTGTGTGTATTATTATTATTAATTGCTTGAAGCTTCCTCACAGTCCATGAATCATTTTTGAGGTAATTGAAGACATAAAATTTCTCCAACTTACTTTAGAACATTATTGCTTAAAGCTGGGTGCAGCAGGCAAGGTAGAGCCTCACGGGGATCCCGTGAGGTCACATTGTTGGTCCAAGCTCCAGGAGCCCTCTGTCTACAACCCCGAGCAAAGCAAACTTGGCTGCTTTGAGCCACTGACATACATCAAATCTGTCTGTTAGCCCTGTATCGTAGGTAACCTTTCCCCCTCTGGAACCACATTGTGGAAAGGCGTTTTTTTCTACTTTTTGTTCTTTTTTTCTATTCAGTTTCATGATAAGTATGCTGTGGCACCATCTATCTGTCTGTCCTCACTTGGGTTAGCAATATTTTTAGTCTTATCATAGAGCTGATCTAAGAAGGAGAAAGCTGAATCACTTTTGAGCCCCAGTGGCCACGGGAGATTACTAAGCTCCTGCAATTTTGAAAATATTGCTATATGAGTTGTTTTCTTCCCAGCCACTCATCTCATTACATTTGATGGTGTTTATCTGAGACTACTAAATATATTTGCACGTAAAACTTTCCAGAACAGAGCAGATGTTTTGTACATATGTAAATACATCATCTCTATTACAGTTCTTATTTGTTAGTGCTAAAAAAACAATTGAGACTGTCTAGCTAAAGTCCTGCCCATTTGAGTGAAACAACCATTATGTCCCCAAACACACTGGACCTCCCATACTTAGCACTGGTTTCCAACTAATGTTCTCTCTTTACTCTCTACAGGCGGATACGTTAAAAGAGAGATATCAAAAAATTGGCGACACCAAAAGGAACACTCCAATTGAAGCGCTCTGTGAAAACTTTCCAGGTAGGATGCTAAGAGGACACTGTAGCCAATGTGACTAAAGCTTTAAAGTAGGTGCAGACCATGACTTGGTATCTCTAGATAAAGGTGCTCTCCTGGAAACTTCCATTCTCTTGATTGTTATTTAGGCCAAGATAGGTTTTGTCACTTCCATTAGGTCCACAAAGAAAACACCAGTGTCACTTAGTCTGTACAGTATTCCTTGCGTGGCCCAGAGCTTCTCCCCGTGGGAAGCACTCAGCTAATGAGCATGGCTTCTCACCTCTTTCCTAACAGAGGAGATGGCAACCTACCTGCGATATGTCAGGCGATTAGACTTCTTTGAAAAACCTGACTATGAGTATTTGCGGACCCTCTTCACAGACCTCTTTGAAAGGAAAGGCTATACCTTCGACTATGCCTATGACTGGGTCGGGAGGCCTATTGTGAGTATCCTCTTTGTACTTCTCACCTCAGACCAGCACTGCCTCACCCCTTTACTTGTCAGACTTTCCGCTTAAATCGATGGAAAAATACATCCCTCTGACTGTAGACTTTACATTCACCAGCCTTTTCAGGGTGATGCCATAGATTGCTCTTACTAGAGTCAGGAAGTAGGGGTAACTCCGTTTATATGTTTTTAAGCGTATGACCAGTATTATCCTAAGATACCGGAATTTAAGGCAGTTTTTAAGACGTTTCATTTGAATGATCCAGAAGCTGGTGCTACATAAGCTGTTAAAGTGCTTGATTTCTGTAGGAGTGGAACCCAGCACCATAGGAGACTTTTGAATTTGCTCTTCTGGCCGAGGGTACACCAGGCCTGAGAGCATGCTAACAAACATCACCGGAGGGTGTGTGTTTTTATTTTCAAAGGTACGCTACTCTCCGATGAACTATTGAGGACCAAGCTGCTTGCTTTTTGCAAATAAGCAAACTGAGAAGGCAAGAAGACTTGAAATTGCCATTGGTGGCTAAAAATTATAGTTAGTACTATTCTATTAGAATTAGAATGATGCTGTTCTTTGCAGAGGCATTAAGATGGACCTGTGTTCCCCATGTGACTTTTTGTTATATTTCTCTAGCCTACTCCAGTAGGGTCAGTTCATGTAGACTCTGGTGCATCTGCAATAACTCGAGAAAGCCACACACACAGGGATCGGCCATCACAACAACAGCCTCTACGAAATCAGGTATGCGTTGGATCTTCATTGTTTTGGACATTCCCTTTATTTGTGGCTAATGTGAAAACCCAAATTCTTCAGCTTCTCTGCTTAAATGTACATACTGAAATTAAAGACAGCAGGGTTGCCATTTCTCACTGGTGTGAAGTGGCATTCTAGCATTTGTCAGGGTTTGTGTAATGGCACTGAGATGTAGCCAGGTGCCTTACATGAAGCATCTACTCGAGAGAATCTGAGCCTATCAGAGCCTGTTGGCTGAAAGGACCTGCTGGACACACAGGATGTACAGGCCAGTCCCGTTTGGGTCTCATCTGCAGTCCAGTGTGCAGCTCTTGCCAATGCTGGTTTTTCCTTGCTTATTAGAAAGGGTGTGTAATTTGGACTTGCAGTTAACCTGGGCATGAACTGGCACCTCCACTCCACCTCTGTCCCTACACACCGGTGAACTCTAGAACTGGCTCACATCTCTAGATCTGAGATGGACCTGCAGTGAAGATTCAGCTTTGCTTTAGGCCTCTCCAGAGAAGGCCATGTCATCTACCCAGCAGTGCTCATGATTTGGGAAACTAGCATTCTAGATGAGGGACCCCTCTCAGCCTAAAGTCAGAGGAGGCAAACACGCACAAAAAAATCAACAAATTTGACAACATTCAAAGAAAAGGGTAACTGATTAGGAAATGAGTATGTTGATTTTTATCTTTAAATCATAATATAAGAGAAAAACAAGGACCCCCCCCCCATAGATAAATAAGCAAAGAGTAATAAAGAGATAAACATATACATATGTGCCTATGTACATGCACGTGCATACACGCACGTACACACAGTCATTATCACCTATCAGATTAGCTTGTTCCTCCTCACATTTTTACATTCACAGACATTTCTACAATAAAATGCAACAACACTTACCTCACAGACGCACATGTGAAAGTACATAGGTTAAAAATAGTATGCAGAAGTACAGACACACGTATATACAGTGAAGTACGTTCACAAATATAGTTAGACTCACCAATAAGTACATGCTCTTGGCAAAATGTGTGGCGTGGCAGGTAAGAAAAAAATGTGTAAAGGAAAGAAGTCTATGTATTATAGAAAGTAGATAAAAGAGGGAGAAGGTAGGCAAAAAGATAGGGTTTAACAAACTGTATACTAATTGGCTCCACAGTTACATGCTTTAATCAGAGTAGTTGGCTAAGAATTATAATTTGACTTCTGATATGACAACAATACTGTTGGCTTTGCAGTTTTTCTCTACCTCCTTTTTAGAAAGTGTTAGGCGCACAAACTGACACTCACACATTGTTCTTTGCAAATTGTTACAAATTCTCTAGAAAATAATTTAATAAAGTTACTGTCCTCTCTGATAGAATAATCTTACTTCTTGGAATCAATCATAATAAAACAACCCAAGGTATAGATTAAGTTATGTGCATAAAACTGCTGCAGTGTCATTTGTAGCAAACTTTTAGAAATGACCCATTAATCATTTATAAGGGGATGCTTATGGATCCAGCTCAAATCCTTTAGAATAAATTGGGTTATAAAAAGTGAATTGTAATCCATTTATTCAGTGGAATATTATGTAGCCACTTAAAAGAATATTTAGGGAAAATTGTAGCAACATGGAAGTCCTTATGGTTTTTATAGTGAGGAAACCAAAATGCAAAATTAGAAATACTTCATGATTTCCCCTCAGGAAAGAGAAGATGATAAAATCAGTGAGAGGAAATAATGCCAAAATATTAACAGAAGTAGTGTTGGAAGAGGTAGTATTATGGGTAATATTTTTCCAAACTATTCTATAATGAAGTTGTATTACTTTATAACGAAAAATGCATTTAAATAGAAAAGGTATGGAGAAATAAATTAAGTAGTCAATGAAGTCTAATCAATGTATCTGCCTGCTCCTGCTTTTTGGAATATTTTAAAACTAAAATGTGTTTCCTTTAGTTTTCCTGGTCTTTTCTGCTTCAGTGAATTCATAATCAATGCTGCTGTTTTGAATGGATTTTAAAAGTATGGGAAAAAAAGATGGTTGAAAACCTAAATTGCCAGGGTGGTAAATGAGGTCATACTTAGTCCCTGAGTAAAAGTACAGTGAATTTCAATGTACTTTTTAGCGAAAGGTCATTAAACCAGTGTATGTAATTAGGAAATCTCATCTGAAAGGCAGTAAGCTTCCTTTTGAAGAGTTGAATCTTGAAGGTCTCTCTGATTTTTTTTTTCCTGTTAGTATTTTTAGTATCCCATGGCTGCTCAGGGATTGAAATTCCGCACATTAATACAAGTTCTACACCGCCTCCTTCCCAGCAGGATTCTGAATCCTTGCCGGGTAGAATTCTTTCTGCCCTGTGTGCGGTGGGGAAATGGATTTCTAGTGTCTGTTCAGCCTTTACACTGTATCTTAGTCTGTATTCTCATTGTTTTTGTCCCATCTTTAGGGTTGTTTTCTTATGCTTTTTTTTTTTTAAGAAAAATTGTAGCTAAATTTGTCCCATTTATAACTCTAGGGATTGAAAGCAGCATGATTTTTTAGACTAATTTTCTTCAAGTTTCAAAACCAGCAAAAGAAAGTAAAATCTCTCCTTGAATGAGATTGAAAGATGCTAACTTTTTTAGTGACAACTAACATTTTTTCAGGAACTTTGACTCAGTAAATCTAGCTGAGGACCTACTATGTGAAAGTATGTCCTGGGATTCCAAGATAAGTAAGGAGTCCTTGTCCTCAAGGAACTGACAAGCAGATAAGCCAGGTACCTATAACACTGGCAGAGCAGATAAGCCTCCCAAGTCGCAAATGGTTATCATCGTAGATTGGAAGAAGGAGACACATCATCTAGTCTGAGCATGATAGAGTTTCATGAAAGAAGCTATATTTGAAATGCTCTTAGAAGAATTAAGTGGAAATGAAAGAGGCATTCCAAGCAAAAAGGAAATATGGACAACAACAAGTTAGCCTGTTCCATTTTGCTAAAATTTATGGTGTGGACAAGGAGACAAGACTAGGACAATAGGTTGGAGCCATTTAATGAAGCTCCTGGAATGCTGGGCTGGAGAAATGGTACTTTTCATTTCAGTAGGGAGTAGGTGCGAAAGGTTTTGAACAGGGGTGATATGATCAAAACTTTGCTTTAGAAACCTTTCGGCATAGCAGGCTCTTGCTGCCAAGTAAGTTCAAGCAATTATATTCTCCATCATGATGAGAATTTTTAGGGAAAATTTGCTTTGCCCTAAAATTGTAGGTATAGTGAGTTGAATACTGTTTGGTTTCTAGATACAGTCATAGATCCCAAATATAGTTCCCATTTAAACTCAGTTATATTGGGTCTGTCTTTTAAAACTATTTTATTTTTTTGTAACTATTTTAATACCAGAACAAATTTTGGGGGCATTAATTTTACCCAGCTAGAAAACTATAATTAAATCATGAGTTTGGTTAGAGTAAATATTCCTAAAAGCTAAATCCATTTAGAAAGATCCCAGTGGGTTAGTTTTTTCTGTCATTTTACCCTTGGCATTTGTCCTTTCCCAATTCTAAAGATGCTACGTCTTTCCACGGCTTTGGTTCCTCTCTAAAGAACTCTGTGTTCCCATCCCTCAGGAGGGGATGAAAACTTCAGTAGTTCTGCCTATTTCTACCTGGCAAAGCTTCCCTTGCATTTTCTGATCACATTTAATCAGGAAATAAGCTCTGCAGGTATCCAGAGATGTAATGTTGGAGTGCAGCATATTGTACTGTGGAAGGTTTTATTCAGTGTGGAAGGTTTTGTTCGACGTGCTAAATATAGAATATTGCATTGACTGGGATGTGCATGCAGCAACACGCTTCCTGCTTTCAGAACTGAAACTGAGTCTAAGCTTGTGACAACCCTTGCTTGGGTAAAGGCTACACAGGCATATGCTACTGTTTTTCAGCAATTTTGATAGTTTACATTTCTTCCCCTTGGCTCCTTTTATTTGGTAGGTTTGGAAGAGGTACTTGGCCTAGGTTAGAACCAATGAAGGGTCCTTTTGTCCATCAAGAGCTATTAAACTCTACCAGGCATGGTATCCTATCCCTGATAATACTGAATCCCAAAATATTACTTACTTGTTTTTATATACACAGCATATGTTTAAGGAAAGGGTTTATGCTTTATAATTTTCTTGTAGATGAACTGTTCACTTGCAGATTCTCCAGTTTGACTAGAAAGGAAAATACAAATCAAAAATCAGTAACGCTGATCCCTCATCCTTCCAGAAGAGCCATATTTAAACTAACTCAGTACCTTATAAACACACAAGAAATAAGTAATACCTAAAAGGGTCAAATCATATTGAATTCTAAAGAAAATGTGCCCCCGGTAAAAGAGTGGTTCGCAATTATTTTTGTATTTGTATCTATACTCCAAGGGATTAGATTTAAGAGATATACAGCCTCAGAAGAATATGTTGTGGTTTAATGCTGTGGTGCTTACTGAACGAAGCTGGTTATAAGCATAGCGTTTCCAAAGGGGAGATTAGGCCAGATTGCTGAGTAGTCAAGATGGTCAGGGATCTTCATACAATAAACATCTTTATTACTTTTTTCAAGTCCAGTAGCCTTAAAAAAAGCAAAAGCTGATTAATTCTTCATTCACTTCCTTTTACAGAATACTGCTTCATTCTCAGCAAGGTTCAGAGTGTGCTAGTTAAAGGGGCAGATGAGATGGTTCAGAAATAATTTGCTTCTTTGTGACCTGTGTGTAATTCCCTAACTTGCCACCTGCTGTCTAGCAGGAGCTCAGGTGTAGAAATTGCACCCTCCAGCATAGAGCTCAGTGCAGACTGGGTCTGGCTGTCCTCATTTCTGCGATCTTAACTCCAAGGCGGACACTGAGACAAACAAATGCAAAACTAAAATACAAACTTTTTCTTAGTTTCTCCCATTCTGTCACCTAATCACTGCTGCACACCTTTGCTCTTAATTCTCTATTCCATATTAAAATTTTTCTTCTGCCTGTATATATTTTTTAACATTTTAT